AGACACCCGTGTTTATACTGCTCACAATTCATGTTTTAAAGACTTTTACTGTTCACTTTTCCTTATATCATCAGTATGTTTTAGAGCAATTAGATGTATATAAAACCAAGCGATATGAATGCCCTTTTTTCATCATTAAAATGTTTTAAGAAGTTAAATAAAATGTGCATACTAAATCTTGCGAGACTTTTAATCCAAAGGAGCCAGACTAACATGGATGATATTTATGAAAGAAAATCTTCCTCGTTGAATTTTAGTTAAAACTTTTCTTGCATATTAAACGTAAGTTATACCACTCCTTTCAAATCTTATTCTGACGTGATTTGTAATATAATCAACGCCTGCATTGAAACCAGAATCGTCCACAGAGGCCCGTTTGTCATTCTACATTCCAGTCAGAGCATTAATTATTCATCGGTTATGTGAGGGACCTTGCCTGACCGTAAATACACCAAGTCTCACAAATGGGACAAATGTTGGTTTTTGACTTTAATCATTCGTTTCTTTACATATACATCTAGTCTTAATCGAATTCGAAGGTAAAATTCGGATCCAAATGATCAACTATCTTCCTTTACGGACTGGGTTATCCATCAGCGTTTTGATAAATATAAAATTAATGATAAATTATAGTATATTTCTTTAGCTGAGACATTATAAACCAAAGCCCCGTGTCTAAGGAGGTACTTGCACAAAGGCACGAAGAGCGCAATAGCCAAAAGTGCAAATGACAAGCCTTAGCCTGCAGCTACCTGGATTTTGATGTTGTCCCACCAATAATGAAAACAAATAGAAATACACTTCATACAAGCTTACCAACACACGAACAACCAATATAACCAACTATCCGGGGTTTTTTTCCCAAGAAAATACTTATAATGCTAAATTGTGCTAGAGATTTTTTGCACATTTAATTGTGTCATCTTAGTAGATGGTTCAACATAATAATCATAAGAAAAAAATATTTGCTTGACATTGCAAACATTCTGTTATAATTTGAACTGATCATCGAACATTTTTTTTGGAATTTTTAAAAGTAACCCAGGACATTAATATATCAAAGTCTAGAAGAAATGCAAGTATGGCGAAATTTTGGCGAAAACAGGAACATCTAAAATAAATCTGAACTTTAAGCCTGTCACATGTAAGCTCGAAACTCTGAAAATTGTACTTTGTATTTCATGTCGTAACGAACGAGTATTGTGGTACACAAGAGGCGTATCTAAATAAGATTAGAGCAATTTCAATCTGAGGGAATTCTTTGACATTTCTCTACTCAGATTGTGAAAAGATCTGATTGCCATTTACTTGTATTGTTTTCAATATACGCCCTAAAGCGACTACACGAAGTAGTTCCATTGAAGGGTAATAAACTAAACTAATTAATTTTATTTTGCTATAATTGTTTTTGATTCTTTGTTATCTACAAGAATAAGTTGGTCTATCACTATCAGAAATCGTTATTACGTCACATTAACAGTCTTCGTCTGTTTTGTGTCCGGAAGTGTCATATTTGACGTCACGATGTTCAACCAATCAAGCTCCCGTTAACACCTGTATGTCTTCTGAAAAATCTCTCGGTAACCTTATCATCCGAAGACTATTTCTTTGGTGCGATGGCTGCTTGCGAATCACCCTAGTCACGCGTCTTGATATATTATTTATTCCGCTGTCTAATTAATTTGCCACATTGACGTTTCATAGACAAGAAGAGCGGAAGCTTTGATATTCCAACAAAGGTTTCCTTTTTTTATAAGGAATGGTACAGAAAACACATTGTAATGTTCCAAAATGGCCTTCACTAGACTTTTATACGTTAAGAAGTATGTTTTTAAATAATAATAAAAAAACATGGAGAGATATTCAGCTTTAACTGACAATAAGTAAAAAAATGCAAAGAAATTTCATTTTTCTAACACTGCATTTTTAAAATGCAAAGAAATTTAATTTTTCTAACACTGCATTTTTACTTAAATGTTTTACTTAGCTAAAAATAAAAAAAATTGCTAATTTATACGTTTTTTTCCTCAAAATAAGTTTGATTTGACACTCGATAATTTAGTTTTTAGAAGTCTACCATGTTTGCAGCCCTGAGCTTCGTAATATGCAAAGGATATTTTATGCAAACGTTATAAAATATTTCTTTCCTCAAACTAGTCTTGCACCTTTCCTTACCAATAATCTCAGTGGGAATTCCATCAGTACATTATAAAAACAAATTGGCGTCAAGGTATATTACTTAATGAACTGTATGTTTGACATTGCACACATGCAGGCACTGCTGTATTATTGGTGTCCAGATTTGGCAGAAAAATAAACAAATCGAAAATTCCGAGTCAATTATGCTGTTTTATAGAAATGTACTGATAACAGCACCTCACTTTTAAATTTGAAAAGAGTAATCAATGAAAGTGAATTGATTGGGAATCGTTATATGCGATTAGGTATTTGTGGTATTTACGTTTCGTTAGGGTGCCCATTGTGTTTGAGAATGGGGCCCAACGAACATTTAATGGATCTTTTTATGACGTGCAATCAACGTGCGAACGATCCACGAATTTCCGGATGCAACGTCAGGGTAAAAAATAACTGCATTTATTCCATCGCGGCGACTTCCGTTTTAAACACTACACTCTTAAAATGAAATGAATGGTCCATGTGTTGTTTTGCGAAATCCATATATTGTTGATAGATAATTGCTTCATTATTTACTGTCTGAGAAAATAAAGAAATCGTTAAAATAGATCACATTTTTTATTGTTCATGTATCATTGTAAATTAGTTTTGGTCTTTAATGCACTATCCCTAGGAATACGCCAGAAATCCCATTACTCGGATATATTGGGTTTCTTTGTTTCAACGATACAAAACCATTCAAACAAATGTAACCTGCTTCTTAAAATCATGTTTCACAAAGATAAATGTAAAATGTGCAAAAAAGAGTGGTCTTGAATAACAAATGATATTTGCTGTATCTCTGTAAATGGCAATCCAGTAAATTTGTGCTTTTTGCTCACCTACATTGCGCGCGCCTCCCGTTCAGAGTCTCTTTGGGATATCGGCTGTTGAATTAATTATGATGCTGCCAAACGCCATTGTAAAGATGATTCCGTCGTTTTTCCATTTCAAAAGAAAAATATATTGAGTTATCATTAAATCGACGATCTCCGTCCGATGACGAGAGAACCCAATAGAATACGGACCGTGTTGCGCCATATTTGGTGAATTGAGTCATTATGCATTGGACTTTATATTCTTACGCAAATGAAGTCATGCTTCCTGATATTTATTTTCACAGCGAGTGTTAAATGAGAAAAGGAGATAGAAAACGTGTTAACATTCGGAATTTTAAATGTGGTCTTCAACTAAAATTTATTCTGATTTTTTCCAATAATTGTTGCAGAGTCCTCTGATATGAAATCTTCGATGAATTTTCACATTAGCAAAACATGAAGTTCGAACACGAACTTACGCAATCAAAATAGCAGGATAATTTTCTCTGATGTCCTTTTAAAAATATATATGTTTATTTGATTGTTGTGTGGAGAAATTGAATTAGACCTGGAATTAGATTTTCGTTATTGGAATAATGAATAAGTTGGATGGTCTCATAGAAGTCTTACGACTTCGAGATATAAGGTAAGTTGGAATTGTCAATTTTCAAGAATGTATTGATAAAAGACAGTGCATATTAGATAATAGGTTACTTTTTAAAGCACAATATCAAATTATATTCAATATTCTTCTATTCCATTTTATTGCTATATCAGTTTTGAAGTAAAATAATATTTACTTTGGAAAGTTTCAAAACATCTTGTATTTTGCAACACTAAATTTCCCTTCATGTTAAAGAAGAGAAATTTTATGAACAGTTTAGAATGATGCTGAATTGATTAGAGATACATAGTGATACTTGCTAATGGACCTATAAGAAAAAGTAAGCAGCTTATTCTTCGTCTTCAAGAAGGAATGGACGAGAGAATGATATAATTCCCAATCAGTCAAACTGGCTACAGGTATTTTGTAGCGTGACCGTATCATCAGCGTCCCTGAGATTTGTTTGCTAATTAGTTAGCGTAATCTCTTCTAAGCCAGGATGTTGTGCATTTCCCATTATAAGTTATCTTGATTGCAAAGAACTAGATATAATGTATCGTAAAAGCTCAGCTTGCGTATTAATTGTATTTTTCTTCATCAACATAAAAACACTGCTTGCTTATTAAGTTTTCTAGGGGGAAACACAATTTAATAGAGTGGAAATGGAATATTGTCAGGCAAGGTTTTCGTTGTCACGGCACACAAAAACATGTCAATGCAATTAGGCCAGACAAATAACCGATGTCATAAAATTCCACGAAATTCTAAACCCTCAATGTTGAGACCTATCTCGAATTACCTCGTTTTGACAATGAAGTATGATGTATAGTTTTGAAAGCAAATCTGAACGATGGCTAATGAACATTACAACACAGTAACACGAAGTTAATGAATCCGATACAGGTTCTAAGGCAAACTACAAAGATAGCAAAGGAGAGCCGGGACAAGATGAGACCCCCTTGAGACTAATCCGGTTGCCTGCATTACGCGTTGACATTTACATTTTCCTTTCATGTCGCATCGGATTTTTATAGCCATTTTTCTGTGAAATGTATTCACTTTACAAAGATTTTCCTTGCCTTCATCATAAATTGTTTATATGTTATACTATCGGTTTGATGATCAATCGGACAAAAATGCTGGTCCCACATGTTTTGCATTCAAATTAATATAAGTCAGGCTTTGTACAGTTGTATTTGAAAGAACATTGGATATATAAATATTTGACAAAGATATATCAAAATAAAAAAAGTATCATGATTTTTTTTTTGAAATTTAATTCTCTTTTAATTAAGAGCATGATAAAAAAAATTACGCAACATAACCATTTAGCTATTAAAAACATTGTAGTTAAAGCTTCAAAGAAATAATCTTTATTTTTTCTGCAACATTTTTTTTTTCAGAGTATTCAAGAAAGACCCGGAGGAAAAGTCTTTTGTAAAATATGACGAACTGGACGAAGCCTTTTCCGAGGAAGAGGATAAAAAGTCCCGTTTCCTTGGATACTGTCCATCATGCACATGCTGCAGATGCATCGCACAACGCTACCTAGTGGCCATACTCAGCTGTATGGGGTTTCTCATCTCGTTCGGGATTCGGTGTAATATGGGGGTTGCTATTGTAACCATGACCAAAAACGAAACATATGGAGACGAAAACAAAGTCCCAACAAAAATACTCGAAGACGGAGAAAACTCAACTCTAGCTAATAAAACGGTAGGAAATAAGCCAAAAAAAAAAATAAAAATACAACACAAGAATATAGTACATGTAAGAGCTTTTGGAAATAAATTCTACAGAATAAATTTATTCTCCAATTAACTAAAGGACTTTATTCCCAAGACATTTTCCCCCGACTGTTCATCAGCAAACATTAGATCAGAAATCGTAGGAGATGCATTCTCCCAATATCAACATTTATCGTAAAAATTATTTGATGATTTCAATGGCAAGTAAATTCTTAATATTTAAGGTAGTCCGATACCCAGCTTTATAAAATTAGCAGTTAAGTAATCAAAAATACTCATAAAAGTATCTCTGAATCCACAAAATGATGTAAATTTATCCACAGTATTTCTTTAAAGTTAAAGATTAAAGTTAATCATATTATATAGGGAAAATTGTCAAATCTCCAATATTTTTGCAAAAAAGCAAATTGGAATATTACCAATGCACTTTCGAATTGCGAATTGATCAACAAATACATTTTAGGTTAAAAAACGATAGGTATCCAGGCATTCAGAGAAATTGTCATGATTTTTATACTTATTTGGTATTTTTTGTCTTCTATCTCCGTCATATATTCTATAATACTTAGTGTAAAAGGCCTTTGCTATCATTGCAAGACACCACAAATCACTTCTTATTTGATTCATGCAAATAAACATTGGTATCTATGTCTGGATTCAAGAAAATCTTATTTTTCTGAAACTGTATAATTTTTTTTTCCTTTTATAGGGTACAAATGTCAACTTTTATAAGACCTTTTCCAAGACTTCCAAAAACCTTGAATCTTATAAAGATGAATAAAATGAAAATTGTTGCATGAAAAAATTTCATTTTAAGCTTCATTTTGATGCATTTCAAATTAAATATTAATTTTTGGAGTTATCCTTTCTGGCTGAGGATCGGACATCCTTAAAATAAAGGACATAGCATTATGATGAATAAAGTTATCATAAATAACATTAAATCTTGCTCTTTATTTTATATTTTTTAAATCAAAAAATACTAAAACGAGGCCGTTTAAATATACAACCGTAGTCAAAGTAAATAAAAATCAAACTATCAGGGTTATTTCTCATAAATAATGAAATTAGTATCGATTGTAAGGTTATAATACGATACAGTGAAAAATCGATCATTCTGATCTAACGTTATCGATACATCACGTGTCATTTTTCATGATAAGAATCAGATATGATGCGGGAGGACGCATCCCTTTATTCTTTGCCAAGATTAAATAGAGTGGCTCCATCAAAATTTGTTTAATTGATTTTTTTTATTTTGTTTAACCTGGACCACAATCAATATCCTATCTTTTTCGTTTACATTGAGGGTTGCATCAATTTGAATTCTCTCTATAATGCAAGATGGGGTCCAATATTTTTCGCGGAAGCTTTCTCGCCTTTTGTTCTAACATTGACATTTTTTGCTTTCTGGAGAGAATACAGAGTAATTGACCGAAATAGCATTAGTGCGATTGTCTACGGGGCAATCTGGGTCCATTTTAAGCAAAAATAACATTCATGATCTAATTTGCAGTCTATATAAAAGACACAAATTTATGTTTTCATGATAAACTATTTCCTATCTTTTTATTTTTTAAATTTTAATGTTTGTAATTTTGTGTGAACAACATTCATTTGCATAATGATAAAATTTGACCTAGCTATAGGCCTAGATATGTTGTTTTCTAAAAATACGTCCTTCGGCGATGTTACATTCGCGACCTTGATATGAATTTCGCATCTGAAGTATAAAAAAGAAACTTTATTCTGGTTATTATTGAAGCACATTCCTAATAGATGGATGTCCCATTGTTAGAAAATAATTAGTTGCTTTCCTGTATGAACTCTACGCATAAATGATTAATGACGTGACGTCACGATTGTTCTCTTCTCAAATTCTGAAACTTTTTTCTTCGTTATATGCTACACACTTGATACTTGTCTAGTGTCGCTAATTTTATTATATTTATGGATAAATAACGTTTTCCGAGCAGAGAAAAAAAACCCTCTAAAACAATCGGGATCGTCCTGTCTTATAATTAACAGTTATGGTGGTTGTAGGAGCCATATTAATTGAATCTGTTATTTGTAGAAAAAGCACTTAGTTCAAATATAGGAGAAAATCAATAGCATTTATAAAGTCAGGCAAATAATTTTCTGGTACATATTTTCCCCTGAAGAATTAAATATTGATTGAAGCGGGTAGGTAATACCATTAGAGAAAGATAATTATGACCACACTCTGCCAAACCGTTTCCATTGGTGTCAATTCTGACACAAGCCAGGTCTCAGAGAATCTGCTGGCCTCGCTTCAGCAGTCTGTGTATGCGAGTTGAGTTTTTTCCCTATAGCGTCACGGCCTATGAAACAGAAAAGAAGCATAAAACATTTTTTTAAAAATCTACATTGAAGGCTTTTGTAGCATCTTACCTGGCTTTTGGGTGAACTTTCATTAACTCACGATGTTGGTGGGGGAAAGCGACATGAAAAAAGTTATATATGAATGTTGATAAATAAGAAGAAATTATGCATGTTCATCAATACATTTTCTTTTAAATTTTCAGATTTTTTTTCACATTGTAAGACAATATGAATTTGACCTCACGTACAAATTATTCTCTGTGGTTTTTTTTTTTGCTTTAAGGAAAAGTTCTTTTTCTTGGGAGAATTAATAAATTAAAAAATTCTTGTACAGAGTCGGACACATCTGTTTCATATTTAAATATCTAACTAGACAAAGACATTAATGGTAACCTAAAAACAAAACTTTATTATAAACATGGTGACTTTAAATTTAATTTTCTGTTGTCAACTTTCCTTAGTAGTTGCCGAGAGCATGCTCTATGTACAAACAAGTTCTAAAACGAGGCAAGTTATTGACAAATAAGTTGGAAAACAATAATATCAACAATCTTCTCATAATTTCGTTTCTTCTTCGGTTGATACAATATAAATGGACTTACAAATTTGTCATTAAGGCGAATGAAGACTGACGTTTTCCTACTAATTGTTAGGTCTTTATTTTAAATAAGCCCTTAATTGTCTACGGTTTTTTCGCTTTCCCTGATCATGAAAATGAGCACTATACTGGGTGACCCGTCAACAGGGGATGTTTACTCCTTCATGGCGTCTTATCCCCCTCTTATTAACAAAAATCAATGAAAAAAGGTCCACTTGATAGATATTTTTACCATTATAAAAACATTTCTCGTCCATGTAAATTTTTCCGTCATTCTGAATCAAACTTTTCCTCCAAAAATCATTCATATATTTTTTATTTTTTTGTAGGATATTCATAATGCCAATAAAAATGTTTCATTGATCGATTCCGAAAACAATACTATAACATCACTTCACAATGGCAAATAAATACTGAACAGAAAATGTTGCAATTCATAGATGCATTATCTTTTTTCAAGAGTTTTTTTTTTCATTGACATGTACAATACGAAAAAAAAAGCGAGACAACACTTTTACAGAAGGAAATGGCCAGTTTTAAAGTACAATTTTGTACTTCGATTTCGCGAGTGACAAGTATACCTTGCATACACTATCAATGAAGCAAATTATTTATAAGAAGTAAAGTCAGCTGCGGAATAGTTTGCTTTTATGAAATTTAATGAATATTTAATTTTAAAAAATACAAGTTATTTGTACCAGTAAAATGTGACATTTAAAAAAAATATATAATTATGAAGATAACGAACAATATTTAAAACTCAGAAGTCCCCTACCGACCGGTCACACCCGCTGTATGCTCCTTGAC